TGCGGAAAAAGGGCCTTTATCGTTACAGTCGCTGAGTTGTGAGTTCTCCGTTAGGAGTTTTGTGCCAACAGAGCTCAGTGATGGTGCGTTTTCCTTGATGTAGAGGCCGTAGATGGCCTTGATGGGGTGTTCATTTCGCTGCAGCCAGCGTATCTCCCGCATCTCCCGCAGCTGTTGTTGTACAAGGCAGTGGCCTCTAGAGAAAGCTGCGTCGTCAAACCATTCCAGATGTTCCACGGTTGACACCATCGTGTCCCAACGGGGGCGTTATCATCTGGTACCTTCAGATCCTTCAATTTTTTAGGTCAGTTGATTTCTGAACTCAAGGAAATGAGCAGGCATAGTGAAAAGGGGAACATTTCACTTACTTGGATGATATCCTCAATCTATGACATCCCAAGACAAATGAAACAAATGTGAAGGTGTTTGAAAAGTTTTTCGGTTTTTGAGACTTGGTTAATACCGCTTTATGCTTAGCCCGCAGCTGACTACTAGAGTAAGGTAGAGAAGAAGATGATTTGATTACTGGGACAACGCCCTTGCTCACCTGACATCTCGATATCCGTCGCGGATTCATCATCAGAGACATAAGCAGAAAGCAATAGCGGACCCCCCTGAGTAAGGTAAGCCAATACTGACCATCCCAACTTCTAGTGTAATCTTTTTGACTATGCGCGTTTCAGGACTGGAATATGGAGGTGCCCATTTGGTATCAGTCGTCCCAGTAGAACCTGCATACCACCACGAAAGGACCATGTTCCAGCCAAAATCTGCGTCCTCTGAAATAAATTCATAGCAGTTAATCTCATCCTTGCGTCTTATTTTAAATGTTTGTTATATGCTTGCAACACTAGCATTCGAATGTTAAGGACCTTAAATTCCGTTGCTTGGTCCCCAGTTTATCCAGGAGGGCACCCGAAAGAGTGCACGCAATCTCCCTTTTGAAAATAGATTGAACAAGATCAGAGCTTTTGAGGGCGCTTGCTTATGTGTTAAAGCTGTTCTCGATAATTAACCCAACACTTGAAT